TAGACGCTATAAAATTAAATTAACACCTTTAGAAAAAAGATCGAATGTGTATGTGTACACACACTCTGAGACACATACTTCAGAGCTGTCCCCAAATATGTCACACTTCACAGACTTTGTCAACTCTTCAACAGTATGTGGTAATAACATTTAAAAAACATTTTTAAACATTTAGCTTTTAAAAAGAGAATGAGATCACTTTATTCAGTGAAAAATAGAGGGGTCATTTAGAAAGTAGAATGCAATTGTCCAGCATGGAATATACTGCCCCTAAAAGGTGGAATGGCCAGTTTCCAAATGTGACCCCTACAATCAAGAGATGGCGTGCCTTTATGCTGCCCTTACGGCTTGCTTTGATCAACAGAATGAAGCAAAAGTACCATTCTTGGACTTCCCAGCCCAGATCTTAAGGGCTCTGGCAGCTTCTGTTTCCTCTTTTGGAAGCCAGCTACCAAGTGAGAATTTCATCCCACAAATGAAAACAGAGGGCTCATGGAGAGGGGTCTGACACCACCTTGGACAGTCAAGGTGGCCACAGGATTGAACCTAGTCATGATCAGATGGACCCCAGCCAACCCAAAGAATTGTAAAAATAATAAATTATTATATATACAAGTCTCTACATTTTAGGGTCGTTCTACAGTCATAGATAAATGAAACCAGGGGTGACAAAGATATAAAATGGTTACAAGTGAGCTAGATCTACTATCTATTGGTGAACATCTTGGGATTCTGTACACTTCTCCTTGCAAAGTACTTTAAGAGGATAAACACAGACAGAGTCTTGTCATAATCAAACTCTTGCAGTTAGTAATGTCTAGGACACTGGTTAATGATACTCACTATGGATTCTCTCAATTTATCCTCCCAGAGCCCAGAAGAACTAGAAAAACTATCAAGGTCCTTCCCTCCTTGCAATCCTGCTTTATCTAACACTATGCCACAAATCTGCAAATGTTTATGCTGGGTAAATAAAACTTCAACAGGAATACTTAAAAAAAAAAAAAAAAAATCAGTTGCCATCAAGTAGATTGCAACTCATGGTGATCACATGTGTGTCAGAGTAGAACTGTGCTCCACAGAGTTCTCAGTGGCTGGTTTTTTCAGAAGAAGATGGCCAGGCCTCTCTTCTGAAACACCTTAGGGTAGGCTTGACTCTCCAACCTTTTGGTTAGCAGCTGAGTGTTTTAACCATTTGTACAATCTGAGAACTCAAAGAAAAGCTAGCAGAGGTTAGCTACACTGTAATGTCATAGAATATGTGGAACCACACAGACAGCAATGGCTGGATAAACATGTGGTTGTTGTTGCTTTTGTTAAGTGCCACTGAGTCAGTTCTGACTCACAGCAAGCCTGCATAGGGTTTCCAAGACTATAAATCTTTACAGAGCAGAAACCCTCATTTTTCTCCGGGGACTTGTAGTAGACTCAATAATTGGCCTTAGTTCTTGACCCTTCTCAACATCTACACTCTTCCCACACACACAGTGAATCACTTCTTTGCTGATTGAGATTGGGTTTAGTCACATGACTGACTTTGACCATTGACATGTGAGAGCAAGTGGCCATCTTCAAATCCAGACTTAAGAAGCATCATGTGCATCTGCTTGTACTCTTGCCTTTGTGGGAGACAGGACATGCTCCCACTAGTTTACTGGTCCCAGGAAAAAGAGGAAGCTGCCCAGAGCAGAGTCACCCCCATGCACCCACTAACTCAAGATAAAAATTTAAAAAAATGTGTTTATTGTTGAATGCCACTGAGATTTTGAGGCAGTCCAATATACAGAAATAGCTGGCTATTTCAGGGCTTTTTTTAATCAGCAATTAAAGTTTGCAAAATACAAACGGCACACTAGAACACAGAATATCTTCCTGGCTATTGAAATTTTAACTGAACTTGGAAACAGATGCTTAGGTGGTCTTACTGTCAGAATAAAAACACTGACTATCACCAAATTTGGTGTTCAGAGTTTTTCACAATCATTCCCTTATTTTTCTAGTCAATTCCATCCCACTGGTATTTTCTATTCAAATTATATCATTTATAATTTCTTGAATATACTTCACATTGTTTTTTACCTCTACCCTTTCCTCATCCAGTCCCTGCATGCTTCATCCAACTGGTTTAGATTCTTTCAGTCTTTAAAGTGATAGATGTCACCTCCTTATGAAATCTGCTCTGATCCTGAGCCCTTGTGGCACTGTAGGATAAACACTGAACTGATAACCACAAGGTTTACAGTTCAAACCTACCAGCCACTCCATGGGAGAAGGAGGAAGGCTTCTATTCCCATTCAGACGTGCACTCTTGGAAACCCTATAGAGGGTTGCTATGAGTGAGAATCAACTCGGTGGCAATGGGTTTAGGTTTTGGTTCTGTCCCCTGACTTGAATCATAGTGAATGGCTTTCCCCCTTAAGAAATTTGGGTTATTCTGCCTCATAACAGTTTCTTGTGCTCTTTAAAGTCCTAGAAGGGAAGGTTTATGTATTATTTACCTCTGTACCCTCCATAGCATTTAGCAGAAGGCCTTACACACCTATAGACCTGATATGAACTATTGAACAACAGGAGGCAGTGGGGAAAACATAGAGAAACAAATGGGGAGTCTGGAAGCTGAGAGATCTGGATTCCATAGCTTTGTAACTGAGCAACAATGGCCGAGTCAGTTTCTCTGTGTTTCAACTTCCTCATATGTAAACCTGGGATAATGGCATTTATTACACAGGACTGTTTTGAGAATTCACTATGAAACCTAATGTAAATGTCTCATGGTCTGTAAATGACAACTTTTACTGTGAGCATGAAAATGACACAGATTATCAACTAGAAGCTGTTGTTAGGTGTCATCCAGTTGGTCCCAACTCACAGTGACTCTACACTCAACAGAGCAAACCCCTGTCCAGTCCTGCACCATCCTCACCATTGTTATGTTTAAGACGATTGTTGCTCCCACTGTGTCAATCCATCTCCTTGGGGGCTTTCTTCTTTTTCCGCTGACCCTCCTCCTTTCCAAGCATACTACTGTTCTTCTCCAGGGATTGGTCCTTTCTAACAGAATGTCCAAAGTACAAGAGATGAAGTCTCGCCATGCTCACTTCTAAGGAGCATTCTGGCTATACTTCCTTCAAGTCTGGTTTGTTCTTCTGGCAGTCTGTGGTGCATTCAATATTGTTCTCTAACACTGTAATACAAATGCATAGTATCGATTCTTCCAAGGTCTTCCTTATTCTTTGCCCAACTTTCATATGCATATGAGGCAACTGAATAAGGACTGGGTCTGGCATTTTCAAGATGTCATTTGCAGCAGATTTGCTTAATGTAACCTGATGCTAGATTATTTTATCTTGGAAACTCATTGTTTGAGGTTGACAGTAATGACTCAAATTAAGGGAAATTCTATTTAGTTCCTTCTCAGAAATGGTGGTTTCAATAATCTGGATTATGGTTTTATTGAGAGGTCCATATAATACTTCCTCCACAGTTCTAAATTCTGTAGGTAGTCACCACTAGAAGTAAATGCATTCCAGGCAACCAATGCATCTCCCAAAAGTAAATAAAATCACCTTCCTCCCCATGTATCGTTTTCCACTTTTGAAGCAGCACTGCCACACATTCCCCATTCTTCCCCAGTGAACTCAAACAACATTACCCTGGATCAAACGGTAAAGATTCTAAAAGCAACAGAATTATTTTATGGTGACTGAATGTGGTAACAACGGTTCATTTGCATAACTATCATCTCATGGTAAAACGGCCTTTCCTCTTAGGACATTTGGTTTATTCCACCTTGTAATATTTTCTTGTCCTCTTATAAGGCTTTAGAAAGCAAGATTTATGTATTATTTATCTCTGCATCCTCCACAGCATTTAGCAGAAGGCCTTGCACATCTTACAGAACTTATTAAAACAAGTGGCCAGTGGGAGGCACATTCCTTATCAAATAAGAAATGAAAAAGGTGCTTTTATGAATAAAAGTACCATGCGAATGTCAAGTCGTAAATATCACTGCTAAAGTAATACAGAAAAAACGTCTTTATCTGCTTAGCACAAACCAAAATCTAGGACTGAACCCATGCCCATACTTCATCAGAGCAATCACTGATCTTCCAGAGAAGAAACTTAGGATCAGGCAAATGTTAAATTGGCCAGGCAAGTGATGTCAATGAATGCATGGGGCTTGGTGCACAGTCCCTGGGGAAGGGTTGGTGAGCAGAGCACTAGAAGTTCATAGGCTGACTGGAGGTGCCTCTGCCACCTCACTCCAATGATTGAAACCTCAAGGAACGAAGACCCCGTAACTGCCACATTCTCTGACTTTTTAAGACAAGCCTAGAAATATAGGGTTTTATTAAAACATCCTAATTTTTGAAAACAGCCTTGCTTTTAATTTTAGAATTCTTTGGAGGCCAAAGAAGATATATTTGTAGGTCAGATGTTGCCAAGGGTTGGCCGTCTGTGACCTTTGCAATAGATATTCTAAAGTCACTTTGAATCATTATAGAAAGACTAAACTTGATCATATTCACTGTATTTGGATTTCCTAAAATGGAAATCTATCACCCCAATAAAAAGCACCCATCTCCCATTAGCTCTAAAAAACACCTCATTTTCTCATTCACTACACTTTTGGGCATCTATGTTTTCAAGCTTACAGATCTCCCCTTCTAGGATTCCCCATAGCTCCTACTCCACATACCTGTTTAAATCCTACTCATTCTTTCAAGCTTGATTTGAAGGCAAACACCTTCATAAAAACCTTCCCTGATGCTCCCAGATCACACTATCTATAAATTATGGTGCTAATTGTCTGATGTAAAAGATCTGCCTTGATTTCCCATTATCTCATCTCTCCAGTATCAGCATCCCTCAAACAGGTATCCCTACAATTACCATTGTCACTAAAAATTCTTTACACAAACATCACTACTACTCTTTACCCCCATGAGAGTGAAAGGTTTAGATGCAACAAGTCAAGAGGGGAGTTTCACAGCACTCACCGCCAAACACATCTCCATTCTGGTAGTTTTTCCCTTTCTGGGCTTCCTCTTCATTTTGAACAGTGGCAACATGCTTGGCGGAGGCACAGCCCATAGTCTCATTCGGTCAGCTTCAGCCGGGCTGAACTGCAAATCATCTCTACAGACACGGGGACATTTTTTTTTTCTTTAAACACAAAGAAAAATCCACCTTCTTGCTTTGTGAGTCAAGATGTGTGCACCTGCAAGAAGAGAAAGCTAGATCAGAAGGCATGTCCCCAGCAAAACCGTGCCTCAGTCTCTCACCCTGCTAGACCACGAACAATGGGCTAGACTCCATGTTCGTGATGGGGAGTTGAAGGATGAAATCCAACACAGCCCAAGCTCATTTAATCCCATTTAGAAAGTGAGGTAAAAAGGCATACCTCCTGCCAGACAAATGCCTTTAAATGAACTTCAACAACAGAAAATTTTGTAAAAAATATATACAACATCAAATCTGCTATTTTAACCATTTTAAAGTGTACAATTCACTGGCATTAATTATATTCACATAGTCCTGGTGTAGGATCAGCGCTAGACTGCTAACCAGAGCGTCTGTGATTCAAACCTACCAGCAGCTCCTCGGGAACCCTATACAGGATCACTATGAGTTGGAATAGACTCCACAGCACTTAACAGCTACAACAATTATATTACAATGCTGTGCAGCCGTTACCATTTGTTTCCCAAATTTGTCATCGCCCCTTTAAGAGGGGACCCTGGGTGATACAGTGAATGTGTTTAGCTGAGAAATGAAAGGTTCTAGGCCATCTAGAGGTCCCTCATAAAAAATGTTTGGCAATCTACTTCTAAAAAATTAACCACTGAAACTCTATGGAACACAGTTTTAGTCTGACATGTACAGGGTAGCTATGAGTATGAAAAAACTATAGCCGTTGTTTATCTCTTGCTGGAAAATGTGTGCCTTTGTTCTTGTTAGCTGCTGAATCAACCCCAACTCATAGTGGCCCCAAGCACAATGCAATGGCCCCTTGTGTTGCACAGTTTTTCACTGGTTATCTTTTGGAAGCAGATCCTATCTTTCCAGACTAAGATGGACCTTTCACCCTAGGCCATTTTAGTCTGGAAGTTCTGCTAAAAATTGTTCAGCATCCTAGCAAAGCACAAACCTCCACTGACAGATAGATGGGGGCTGCACATGAGGGGCACTGGCCAAGAATCAGAGCTCTATGACTTCTAGTGAAAGTTTAAAGTGTATAGAATATTTGTAGATAAACCATAAAAGGGGTAACCCCAAGTTAACTGAAATTGTCTTATATCCAAGACCCCTGCCCAATTTCTCAGGATTTGTTAGCTCATCCTGCTCATTTTAGTTGTTTTTCATCATCCTTACCCAGCTTTTCTTTAAGTCTTGAAGATGTATCCTTTGACATGTTGCTCTATCCATCTCTTCCTGTCCACCCAACTCCTGTAATAATGCCCCTAACTATTCATACTCAAGCAAAGCATAGGTCTCACTTCATCTTTATTAGTACCTGCATTCCACTGTCCCTTCCATCCTTAATGAACAATCGATGCTTCCTCTGTCTCATACACAGTTACCAAAATGCAGCTTCAAGTGTTCTCTCTCTTACATTACTGCTCCTAATCTCTTCTTCATAAGAGAACTAATGACATCCATGGATGTAGAAATCCAATCATTCAAACCATAAAATTTCAACTAAGAGAAATTTTCAGATTAGCCAGATAATAATAGGTAATTTAAAATCAATCTAATAAGCAAATTTAGATAGAAAGATAATGACTTAAATTTGCAAATAAAATTTTCAACAAGCTCTGTTGCTGTAGCTCTAGTTATTTCTCTGTAGGTAGCTCCTCAGACTGTTTTTTAGCACTGGTTATATAAAATCAGTAACAGGACATATAGGGTAGCTTTGCTGAAGTTTTAAAAACAGGAGTTTTTTCTTTCCATAGATACTTAGTATCTAGTTCCTTTATATTATTGACTCTCTGGACATGCAAACAATTAAGCACTCAACTACTGGCCTAAAGATTGGGAGTTCAAACCTACCCAGAAACTCCTTGGGAGACAGGCCTGGGACTCTGCTTCCAAAATGGCACAGTCTTGAAAGCCCTAGACAGCAGTTCTACTCTGCACACATGAGATCATCATGAGTTGGAATCAACCCAGTATTAGGTAGACTCAACAAATTTTCATCATTTTAAAGCTATATGAAACCTAGGTCTGTGGACACAGGCATCAACATGCACACACACTTACTCAAACCATATTTTAGCAATGTTTTAAAGAATTTACTCTGTCTTACAAGCTTTAATTAAGAAGGGTATGTAATGTAATGTAACTTAATGGGTTACATCTTATAATCAGAGACCCATATGATTTGCATAATTTGTCATGAAGGAAGGTGGGAAAGTCCCAGGTCAAATTCTAAAGTCATACACAATGCTAGTTGTGGAGGGAGATGATTCTACATGCAGGCAGAAGTGAAAAGCCATACCTCTGAAGTGGGCTGGGCATAGACAGTCTTAATTATTAACATTTTCAAGCAAATGATGACAATAAGAAAAGTAAAAGACTATTCAAATATATCAATGATCAGTCGATATGTAAAGCACATAATGAAATGTCAAAAGTTTATACACTTGACCCAAAAGACAGAGACAAAGCCACTGTCACACAGCAAACCATCGCATGTTTAACAGTTGCCAGGACACAACCTTTCACCACCACACCAGACTGGAGATGTTGAGGTTACCTACACCTGATGCAAGCCGTACAAGAACTGCAAGGGAAGCAGCAGCAGCTCAAACCACACACGTGTGTAACCAGTAGAATGGGAAAGCTATGGAACAGCAAACAGTTGCTACATTTATATGTAAATTCTCAGCACCCAATGAATGTATGCATGTGTGCACACACACATATACATACACACAAATGATTCTAGAAACAGTCATTTATTGACTGATTTAGATACCAGACACTTGTACCTGCATGTGTCAGATACTGTGTTAAGTGCTAGTAGCTGAAAAGTGAGATTAAGTCTCAGAACCAGCCCTTCAAAGTGCTCAGGTCAGAAGAAAGGTTTTACAGGGATCCATGACCAATGAGAATTTAAAAAGTATATTAAATTATGACTGGGTGAAGGCAGGAGTTAAAAGAGGAAGTAATATATATATATTAGAGTCTTAAAGGTTTGGCAGAAATATGCGAAGCTGAAGGGCTGGTAGCATCACCCAGATGGTATGAACAGCCTGCCTTAAGACCCTACAACTTGAGAAAACATGGCGATGTGATGTGATTGCTTTAGGGAGTGGTATGGAAGAGTGTTTTGTGAAGAACCTGCTCATTTTATCCTACTTAATAAAGATAAACCATAAGTATATTAAGATATTGAAAGTCAAGTTTGAACACATTGTTCAGAGCTAATAAATTAATGTAGAAATCCATTCTGTCAACCTATCACACTTTTTGAAGAAACATCAGCACTGAAGCGTGTGACAAGTATTAAAAATGAAATTCAGCTCTACCGGCAGATCTGCTTTCTCACAGAGAGGCTATTTAGAGCTGTTGCTCGTTACCACTATTGTCCAGTTATCAATGCTGTTATTCAGCATTCCTAGTGAGTACTTTGTCAGTGGCAGCCACTCCTATACCTCTGCTCCAGCACCTAACAGTACCTCCTCAGAACCACCACAGGTGTGGGCTTCCAGACACGAAGTCCCTCTTTCTCAAAAAGCAAATGTGGGAAAACAACATTTTCACGCATACACAGAAGACAAGACAGAAAGTGAGAGGGAAAGCCTCGCCTTGCCTCCTTTTCTGTTGCCACCTTTTCAGAATAAACAAAGAGTGCAAAAATAGATAGGAAAGGGGAAACCCTAGCAAATTACTGACGAGCATGCACTGGGTATCAAGCGACAACTTGAAAGTATCTTCTTTGGGTGTCAACTTGCATTTCTTTTACTCATATCAATTTTGTGTTGACTAGAGCCCTGGTGTGGTGCTGTGGGTTAATGCAACAGACTGCAAAGCCGTTTGAACTGCAAAGCTGGCAGTTCAAGCTCACCAGCTGCTCCTTGGAGACTCTATACAGGGTAGCTATGGGTCAGAACTGACTCAACGGCACTTAACAACAACAACACAGCCCTCTTATGGAGTCCTGGTGTGGCACTTAGGGTTAATGAGCTAGATTGCAAAGCCATTTGAACTTCAAGGTGGGTGGTTCAAGCTCATTAGCTGCTCCTTGGAAACCCTATACAGGGTCGCTATGGGTAGGAACCGACTCGATGGCACGTAACAACAACAACATAGCCCTCTTATATGCTATTTTCGTAGATCTAATAGCTCTGGTAGCGTAGTGGTTACGAATCGGGCTGAGAACCGCAAGGTCAGCAGTTCGAAACTACCAGTTGCTCTGCGGGAGAAAGATGAGGCGTTCTGCTCCTGTGAAGATTAACAGCCTCGGAAACCCTGGGCAGGGTTGCTATGGGTTGGAACCAACTCCACGGCACATAACAACAAAAACAAGTAGCACAGAGGTCACTAATCAGGCTGCTAATCTCATGATGAGCAGTTTGAAACTACCAGCAGCTCTGCGGGAGAAACATGAGGTTTTCTGCTCCCATAAAGATTTACAGCCGTGGAAAACGTATTGAGAGTCACGATGAGTCGGAACCGACTTCATGGCACACCACCACCACCACCACCACCATATACTATCCTGGAGCCCTGGTGTGGAGCTGTGGGTTAATGTGCTGTATTGCAAGGTCGGCAGTTCAAGCTCACAAGATGCTTCTTAAAAACCCTATATGGGTTGGAACCAACTTGGCGGCACTTAAAAACAACAGCATATGCTATCCAAGAAGTTGTTGTCGCTGTTGTTAAGGGCAGTGGAGTTGATTTCCACTCACAGCCACCAAGTAAATTTAAAAATCTAAAACACCAGCGATTCTTTGCTACTTTGAAAAGTGTCTGATACGGTTTTTTGCATAAAAAAAAAATCCTATTTGAGTTTAAAAAGTGAAATTTACAAAACACCAGGCTTACTGGTCATTAAGAAACTGGAGGAACCTGATACCATGGCCCTCCGCAATCCTTCAGGTCTGGAAAGGGCTTGGGGCCCAACTTTCAGCCAAGCAATAGATAGGCAGACAGGCGGAACAACAGTAGCTAGTTACGCTTACTATGAATGAGGCAGCGGCGTCAATCCTTCAA